CGTGCTTGGGGTTGCGAGCAAACATCAAGGCCATGAAGATTTCGTGAGATCCCAGAGCCTCATTCCTCGAGCTGCGGTTTCCCATGAGGCCGAACCCTCGTGCTGGCTCGGAGGGGTCCCCGCAAGCACCCTTACGAGGCCTCCTTTTGATGAAAGGGACGTCTTGGACAAGGGCTTCTACACGTTCGGTGATCACAGCGAGCTCCTCAGGGCCCCTGACAACTACCTCAAGATCTTTGGGGATGGCTCAGGAGGCCTGTGCAGCAGTGATCCTGGGCGTAGGCGTTGTGGCTCCGCTATTGTGGCGCTTGATCAGAGCCCCTGCAGCCCCGCCAGTTGGATCCCGATTTGGGGAGCCTCTTTGCCGTTGTCTGGACGCAGACAGACGGTTCCTAGGGCTGAGCTACGTGCGTTCATCCTGGCGTTGGAGCTCCTTCCGATGCCGTTCCAGTATGTCACCGATCATTTAACCTTGTTCCTTGCTTGGATGCGCGGGAGATGCTACCGACCTGCCCCCAATGAACAGAATTCATATTTGTGGAAAAAGATCCGTGCCCTCGCCAGCCGCAGGTCCACTCCAATTCTCATGGCCTGGACGGCGTCTCATTTGGAACAGGACCCAGAGCGGTTCAGGACCTGGGAAGAGGCCTTCGCGGCTGTCGGCAATGCGGCCGCGGACGCGCTGGCCAGCCAAGCCGCGGCGAGAGGACTCTCCCTCTCCGTCCCTCCAGGCTGGGATCTGCACGCCGTCGATCGCATAGATGCGGAGACGACTCTGATACGTGCTAGGCTCAGAAGGAGTCTGCTCGATACGATCGACATCGATGGTTGGGAGGGCGAGTGGGCGGGGGGTGACTGTCAACGTATGCTGCGTATTTCTAGGAGGGACCGAGCCCTCAGCCAGTCCACTCATCATTTTGTGAGAGAGGGCCAACGTTGGGTTTGCGCGAGGTGTAGGGAATTTGTCACCTCCACCTCTTTGCTTTCTGCCGCGGCGAGAGTGTGTCCTGGGCCCCCCCTTGGGAAAACAAGTTTTCCCACCGCCTCGGGGGTCGTGGTCCGCGAAATCGTTGGTCCCGCCTGGCTCGGTTCCGTTTCTGCCCACCCCAGCCACCAGATCTGGGCGTGGGACCTCCATAATCTTTGTTTCTGTGTCAAGTGTGGCCTCACGGCCACTACCGACCCTCGGCATTTGATGGTGGCTTGCCCCCCGATCCGCAGTCGCAAGGGGCATGAGAACCTAGCGAGGATTGCGAAGGGGAAGCACCCCTCGTACAGGACGCCGAGGTCGGCGAACTCCGTCAGGGTAGACACCCCTGCGGGCCTTGCTGCGGCTGCTGCTGACGAGGGACAGGGTCCCCCTTGAACTCCGAACTCTGAACTCCTCCTTCTTCCCTCCTCCTCCTCCTCCTCCTCCTCCTCCTCCTCTTCCTCCTCCTCCTCCCTCCTCCTCCTCCCTCTCCTCCTCCTCTCCTCCTCCTCCTCCTCTCTCCTCCTCCTCCTCTCCTCTCTCTCCTCAATGTCCTCTTCGTCGTCTTCTTCCTCCTCCTCCTCCTCCTCCTCCTCCTCCTTCAGGACACCATCTTGGCTCAAACCACTCCAGGCCGCTGCCCTCGAGCCTCGTCTCGGGCCTCGGGCCTCGAGGCCTCGAGCCTCGGTCCTCGAGCCTCGGTTCTCGGGTCTCGGGCCTCGAGCCTCTGCCCTCGGGCCTCAGGCCGTCGAGCGTGCTCGAGAGCGTGACATGTTGGGCCAATTTTCCATCACCGCTGCAATAGGTAGGACGGGGGAGAATGGAGGATGGGGAGGCCCTTCTCCTCCTCCTCCTCCTCCTCCTCCTCCACCTCGTCCACCTCCTCCTCCTCCACCTCCCTCCTCCTCCTCCTCGTCCTCCTCCACCTCCACCTCCACCTCCTGCTCCTTGTCCTCCTCCTCCTCCTCCTCCTCCTCCTCCTCCTCCTCCTCCTCCTCCTACCTATGGTAGTGGTGGCAGAAAGTCGGCCCACCATGACGGGCGCGACGCCGCGCCGAGGGCATTGGGCGCGATAGGGGGCCTCACGCCGCACAAGGGCGGACACCGGCGACCGCTTGGGGCGCGCCTTCGGGCGCCAGCAGCGGGGTGCGCCCCGAGAGCCTCGAGAGCCACGAGCCTCTCGAGCTTCGCGGGGCGGCCTCGAGTGCGGAGAGCCTCGAGAGCCTCGAGCCTCGAGATGTCCCCGATATTCCCGAGCCTTGAGCCTCGAGAGGCGGCCTCGATAATCGATCCCCGAGCCTCGACGCTGCCTGCAGGATGTGCGGCGGGAGAAGGTTCGAGGCTGGGGGTTCTGGGATCGAGGCCTGCGTGGGTGCTGCGGGCCCCGACTCTCTTGGGCCCCCCAGGGCTCTCGACAGGGGGGCCTCCGCGGATGCCTTCGGGGACCGGAGGCCGTTCTGCCTCAGATTCTTGCACGTGGGGGCGCCTTCGGGGGCGCGAAGCTGTGGTGAAGGCATTGCGGCCGGTGCCGCCGATCCTGAAGGCGGGACCTCCCCCAGGACCCCAGGGCCCCCTCTTGGGACCCCAGTGCCGGGGCCAGGGCCGTCGTATCTGACCCCCCCCCCCCCGGGACTCCTCCCCCCGGACCCCTCCTGGACCGCCCCCCTCGGCCGGGGAGGGGTCAAAGGAAGGGGCTTCCCCTCGATTCAATCACGGCGCTGATCAATTCCGCTGTCTGGTGTCGCTCCAGGGAGGCCGCCGTATCTGACTCCTCTTCCCCCCGGGCTCCCCCTCCCTCCCCGCCCAGGCAGGGGAGGCGGAGTTATTCGGGCTTCGCGCTTCGCGGTTCGGCTCCGATTCTTCCTCATCCTCCTCTTCTCCCTTGGGTTCGGCGCGAGAGCGCGAAGTTATTCGCGTTTGGTGCTGCGCCGCGCTGCGCCCAGCGCGAAGCGCGAAGTTGGGCGCCCTTGCTTACTTGCGCGGAGGGGAGAGTGGGGGGGGGCGTGGCAAGGCCCGGAAGGGAATCTGGACTTCACGCAAGCCAGGACTCACTTGCACGCCTTCTCGAAACATTGCTTGAAAAGGTGGTGGCGGAGAGGGGGGGGAAAAATACCGTGCATGTAAACTTGCCTGAGTCTACGAAACGCCTTCTGGAACAGCGGCGTCGGCTGCGCGGCGCAGGGCGGCGGTGGCGCGCCCGTGGCGTGCGGGCCGGCTTGCGAACGCCTGGGAGCTACGAGGTGCCGATGGACGGACGGGTGCGCCCCCAGACATACAAGGCGCGGTCGCCGCGCCCAGACATCTGAGGATGGGATCTTTTCAAGGCGCGGCCCCAGGGGTCCACGACTCCCTCCCCAGAGGCAGTTTGGCGCCCCCGATCCATTTCTACTGTTCCACTATATGGGCCCCAGAGGTCGAAATCGAGGAATAACCGCCCGGATTGAAAAATCGGGTCGTCGGAGAGTTCGTTGCTAGTCTCTCTTCGGGAGAGTTCCCGCCCGGGCCGGCGGAGTGGCCTTCGGCTGGGGGGCCTCCCCGGAGGTCTCTCCGAGAGAGGTCCCTGGTGGTCTCGGCTCCGCGGGGCTCTCCAGAGGTCCCCGGGCAGGGGCTTCCAGGAGCTCTCTCCAGAGGTCAGGTTCTCCGCCGGTTTGATGAAGGTCCCGCGGCCATCCCTGAGGCCCGAGGCCTCGAGCTCCGAGATGCCCGCTCGGCCGCGCAGAGCCCTCGCGCGGGCGGAGCCGCGTCGGGCTCCTCGCCCAACGGGGCCGAGCGCGGGCCGCTCAGCGGGGGTGGGCGCGGATGCGCTCGTGGCCGCGTGCCGTGGTGCTTTGGCCCGCGCGCTCTCCGTACCAGTCACTCGACGCCCAGTTGAGGTGCTCCTGTGCGCTCTCGGCATTGCTGCATTGATCCCCCACGCTCCGACATAATTCATCAGTCAGGCTTGTACGTTTTTCGTCTGCCACCCATCTGCGACGCTAGGTGTAAATTCGCCTAAACCGTGACCATGCTTAGTGCTTCGCGACTGTGTCGTCACCTAGTAGCAGCTGGAGGAAACAGTGTGTGTGTGTGTGGGTCGCGCAATGCATGGGGTGCAGTCTTTTTGGGGTGAGATGAGCGAATGTGGTGCAATCTGTGTGGTACAGCCTATGTACTGCATCGTGAAGCTCGGGCCAGCGCACGGGGTGTCCACGAGGCGGCGTCGAAACAAAAACCTGGAAAGCTGGATCCATCATGTACGTTCCAGGATAGAGCCCGCTGATAAAAAAACATGATAGAAAATTGTTGTTCACTGTGAAGATGGTGGTGATGAAAAGATGGTGGTGATGAAAAGATGATGGTGATGGTGCTGATGACGATGATAGTGTTCATGGTACCGGTGATGGTGGTGGTGATTATGACTATGACCATTGTGGTGATGATGATGACGATATGATGGTGATGGTGATGATGGTGATGAGGGTGATGCGACGGCTGCTAATGTTGATGGTGAGGATGAAGGTGATGACGAATATGTTCAAACATAAAAAGGAATAGTATGATACAAAGGAGGGGTATTAGGATGATGACGAGGAGGGGGCAGGAGCAGGAAACGGAGGGAGAAGGAGGAGGAAGAGCAGGAGGAGGAGGCGGAGGAGGATGAGCATGATGAATGACGATGAATGACGATGAGGCGGAGGAGGAGGAAGAGGAGGGAGGAGGAGGAGGAGGAGGAGGAGAAAGAGGAGGAGGAGGAGGCGGAAGATGAGGAGAAGGAGCTGATGCGGATGATGATGATGATGATGATGATGATGATGATGATGATGATGGATGTTGATGATGATGATGATGAGGATGAGGATGAGATGATGATGATGATGATGATGATGATGATGATGATGATGATGATGATGATGATGATGATGATGATGATGATGATGATGAGGAGGAGGAGGAGGAGGAGGAGGAGGAGGAGGAGGAACAGGGGGATCGGGGATGCAGGATCGAGGACGATCGAGGATCGGGGAGGCGGAGTGATGGCAGGGGTACCGAGGTGGGCGGCCGAGCTGGACGGCGCCTCCATGCTGGTGGAGCGGTCCGCGAGCGCCACCGTGGCCCCGGCCTCCTCCGCCCAGGCCGCGATCATGGAGCACCAGGACCTCGGGCCCCTTTCTGGCGGCTCTCCTCCTTCTCCTCTTCCTCCTTCTCCTCCTCCTCCTTCTCCTCCTCCTCCTCCTCCTCGATGGAAGGCTCAGGATGATCTGCCGACGGGATGTCAGGGCAAGGACCTGGGCGCGGTAGCAGCCAGGCGAGCAAGGGGAACTTGACCTTCTGGTAGGAGCCCGCCTCCTCCTCTTCTTTTTCTTCTTCCTCCCTCTTCCATTCCTGCCTGCTCGTCCTCCCTCTCCTCGTCCCCTCCTCCTCCTCCTTTTCATCCTTGTCCTCCTTCTTCTTCGCCGTGTCGCATAGTCCTCGGAAAGCATTGGGCGAGCCCCCGGAGGCTCTTTCAGGAGGTCTCGAGCGGCGGTGCTTTTGATCTCCGCGGCGTGGAGTTGGAATCGGGCCCATCCCGAGGCACGCTCGAAGCCCTTGAGATTTTTACTGCGTGCCTCGCGGGGCCCTCTGCGTGCAATGGGAGTGAGTGGCAGGGTTCGCATGGCGGCCCCGCGCCATTTTGGCGCACCCCTCACACCGTTCGTGGCCCCATAGGGAGCTCCACCGAAGGCCCCAGTGGCAGGGTTCGCCTGGCAACCCCGCCCAATTTTGGCGCACCCCTCACACGGTTCGCGGCCCCATAGGGAGCTCCACCGAACGCCCCAGTGGCAGGGTTCGCATGGCGGCCCCGCGCCATTTTGGCGCACCCCTCACACGGTTCGTGGCCCCATTGGGAATTCCCTTTGCTTCGTCCTACCTGCCCTGCGGTTCTCACACTTGCGTATGGTTGGGTCCTTCGCCAGGATATTTGTTTCTTTTCTTTTTCTCTTTTTCTCTTTCTCTTGCCTTCTCGTTTTGATACCCCTCCCGCCGTCACTACAGACGGGATGGGCTCGAGGGCCGCGGCGCCCCGGAGACAAAGGTCCTCTTTTCGAAGCTCGAAGGAGGAGGGGGAGGAGGAGGAGGAGGAGGAGGAGGAGGAGGAGGGGGAGGAGGGGGGAGGGGGGAGGATAGAGGAGGGAGGAGGGAGGAGGGAAAAGGCAGGAGGCAGGAGGGAATTGGGGCGCGCTCCGCGGGTCGGAGCCGTCCATAGGCGTGCGAGGAGCGGCCCGGGGCCGGCGCAGAGAGCGTCAGAGGGCGTCTGGAAGCTTGTGTGCGTGTGCGGCTGCCCCGTTCCCCGAGTGCTGGGGTGCAGGGGGTCTTTCGGGCAGAGGTCGAGGCAGGAGGAAACACGGATGCGCGGGGCGGAAGTTCCGAGAGCGAGTCAGGAGATTCTGAGAGCGAACCAGGACATATTCGGATGTGGTGGAACAGCAAGACATAAGCACGGGCCAGTATTTGTCCTGCACCCCTTTTGTTTGATCGCCTCGTCTAGCTCATGGCGTCCAGTTCATGGTTCGCCTCGACCCCGAGGAGCCACGATGCATTCCTACGCAGAGTACCACGAAGTGTGGGTTTGCCCTACAGGGTTTTGGGGCTATAGATGTGGCGCCCTTTGGAGGCCTTCGGCGCGCGACGTACCTAGGGGTCTCGTGGAACAGCCACGCGCTAGCGTTAACGCTTGGTTTCGCTTCGCCGATATCATCATTGCTAAGTTATTCTTGTGCCACCCGTCTTATACGGTATACGTTTTAGAACATGCGCTGGTATATTTAGTGTTCGTATACGTCTATCCATCAGTACTTGCAGGCCTCTTGCCAAGAGCAGCTGTCACCAGCTGTATGAGGTCGTCGTTCAGGTGCCAGCAATTTCTCTCATTCATGGCAGCACTGCTGCAATTCCATGTTCTCTTGCTTCCGAGGACCGCGTCAAGAACGCGCGCATAGCAGAACTGGAAGCACGAGTCAACGCCACGCTGACAGCCGCAGTCCAGCGCTCGCGCAGGATTCAGGAACCTGGCGAGCTAATGTGGCCGCCGCCTCACGCCTGCTGCGGCCGTTGCCACCGCTGGCGCTGCTGCTGCAGCTGTCGCTCCATCCTTCCTCTCGCTTCCCTTCATCTTGAGAGGTTTCGATCGGACCACATGCCAGTGCATGGGTTGGTAATCACGGGGCAGTGACAGCCCAGGCGCTATGAGCGCTGATCACAGTTTACTCATCTGGGCAACCGCGCATGCTCACAATTCCGCTTGCGGGTGTACGTGTGCAGGGCGTAAGCCAGCGCTGTTCCCCGCCAGAAAATCACAGGATCCACTGATATTTGCACCTCGTGGGGACTTGGCACGGCCGTTGTGCAGGAGGGAAAGAAACACACAGACACAATGAATCGTCGATTCCCAGGACAGTATGGAAAAATATGGGAAGTGGGAGGGAAAACGAAAACCCATAATATATATATATATAGATTTATATATATGGGGAATCCTGTTATTTGTGTCTATTTATTTGTGTGTCCCTGGGCCCCTTCTAGTTGTGGGGGACCTCGGCACGGCCACGGTGATTCACCTGTGCGTGTCAACGGCGACGGGGCGCGAGTGTGTTTCGCGGAAGCAGGAGTTGTAGCGGCGAGGCCTGCGGGCAGACAAAACATGCGATTCGGGGATCTGATCGTTCAGGGGCAAAATCAGGAGATCGCAAACATGGATCCAGGGGGCGTGGATTAACGACGGGTCCCGTTTCCAGGGGAAATCGCGGATTTCCGCCGCCAAACGAGGCGGCACCGGCCGCGTTTTGGGGAGGGCACCTCCCCCGATCCATGGATTTGGTGACCGCGCGCCAAATCCATGAATCGCTAATCCATGTTTGCGCGCCCCCGACAAAAGTCTGCCGTGCAGCATCGCCGCGGCAGACCTGCTGGTGCTTACGTGTGGTGCTCAGGGTGCGGCGTCCGCGGGCAGCTGCAACGGCACCCAGCTGCGGGCTCGGAAGTACCTCTCCGAACGCCACGCCAGAGCCCCAACAACACGTGAAAGCGAAATAACGGCTTTGCGCCCAACCCCGCCCGCATCAGCGGATGCGCGGTCCATACGCCCCTCCCCCAAAATTCTAAACGGGCTTCCGCCTGCAGGGGCTCCCCTGGGGTGATCCACTCCTTCGATTTAAATCGTATGGAGGAGAGTGGGCGGAGCCTGGTGTGGGCGATTCTGCCTAGGACGCCATTCAGATCTGCCTGGTTTGGCCCCTGGTTTGCCTCCTGGTTTGGCATGGTTTGGCGTGGTTTGGCCGCGCGTCCCGCCTGAGACATCGTCAGCATCTGTCTGGTTTCGTGCCTGGTTTGGCCTGGTTTGGGCCCAGTTTCGCTTGAGACGTCCTCAGAATTTGCCTGGTTTGGCCATGGTTTGGCCTGGCTTGGGCTCAGTTTCGCTCGAAACGTCCTCACAACTTGTTTGGTTTGGTCCTGGCTTGGCTTGGTCAGGGCCCAGTTCCGCTTGTAATGGATGTGTAACAAAAACAGAAGTAATGTCATTGTGAGTAATGAAGTCCCAGTGTGGTTCATACGTGTATATACAAACTGCAGATATGTATACAGATGTGTATGTATATGTATATGCATATGTCTGTATATTTGTATATGTCTCTCTATATATATTCGTATATATATATATATATATCTTCTGCATTTCTATGTGTGTATGTAGTTGTATGTGTAGTTGTAATTATATCTGTATATGTTAACGTATATGTATATATGTGCATAAGTGTTTATGTACCTGTTTATGTGTATGTATAAGTATCTTCATTTGTATATGCATGTGCATAGGTATACGTATATTTTCAGTATATTTTTGCCGACTGCATATGAATCTACATCCATGCATGTGTTTATGTATATGCGTATGCAATTATATACGTATTCATGGTTGCATATGTATATGTTTATGCATATGTGTATGTACAGATATTGATATATGTACGGTGTAGTTGTGCACCGGTATATGTATGTTTTTTGTCGAATAGATATTTGTATATGCATACGTTTATGCATCTACACAGGCAGTCGTATATGTGTATGTATATATATATATAGATGCATAGGCATAGGTATATGTATATGCGTTTGTATATGTCCATGCACATGCACATGTATATGTACATGCATACGTTTGTGTAGCTGTGTATGTATACGTATATGAATATGCATGTCTATAGGTACATGCAAATGTATATGTATATGTATATCGATATGTATATGTATGTGTATTTGTATATGTCTATGTATATGTATACGTATGTGTACATGTATATATGTTTATGCATAGGTATATATATACGTATCTGTATATGTATATGTATGTGTTTATGTATATATATATAGGTATATGTGTATGTGCATGTATATGTATATGTATATGTATAGGTATATGTGTATGTATAGGTGTATGCATATGCCTATGTATATGTGTATGTATATGTGTATGCATATGTATATGTATATGTGTATATATTTGTATATATGTATGTACATGTGTTTGTACATGTATGTATACCTGTATATGTATACGTGTACGTATACACAAACGTATATATATATATATATATTGGTATGTGTATGTGTATATGTATATGTTTATGTATATGTACATATACTCGTATATGCATACGTATATGCATACGTATATGTATGTACATACATGTGTATATATTTAGATATTAGCACGACTGCGCTACAAAACGACTGGCGAAATGCGTGTGGACATTCTCAACAAGCTGTGAGTCGAGTTGGCACGGGTGTGTGTGGTTGCGTCCGAGGCTGTAGTATACAGAAGCCCTCTGGATTAACGTTCGCATTCGAGAGGAGAGGCGATGCGTTCTGGGCGTTGCTGAGATCCCTCCCGCAGAGACTGCCTCGAAGGCAGGGGCGTCCCTCTGGCTCCACCACTCGTCCGCCGTATCCTGGATCGAAGGGTCAATGCCCAGCGCCCCTCGCATTCCCTTGTTCTCCCCCTTCCCACGCCCTTCTTCTTTCTTTTCCCGCCGTCTCTCTATCTATTTCCCTGTCTCTCTCTATCTTTCTCTCTTTCCCTGTCCCTCTTTACCGTCTGGCCTTCTAAAGAGAATCGTACAATCTTTTGGTCTGCCTGCGGCAAATCCCGGCACCGTCACAACGCAGTAGCGTAGCAGGAAGGATGTAGAATTTTTGGGCCCGTTCCAGCACAGTGCCAGTTCCAGGACCCGTTCCAGTCTGAGCTGGCGCGGCTCTTAAACGCACCCTCTTTGTACGGAGCCTCGTTCTCCTCCACCTTTCTCTTGGAGGCCTTTTGGGTGACGAGGGGCGGGGCGGGGTGGGTGGGGTCGGCCCCACAAAAACACGGAAGCCATGCTAGAGAAGCTTCAGGATTTCTAGCTCTCTAGTGTTGCGCAAGCGCGGTTGCGGATTCCTCATCGGGTGACTCACGTGGGAGGAGAGACCCCAAGGGTTTTCTGAGTTAAAGAGGGGGGAGGGGGGAGAGCGGAAGGAGGGTGGTTGAGGATGAGGATGAGGATGAGGAGGAGGAAGGGTAGGAGGAGGAGGAGGAAGAGGACTGGCAGGAGGAGGATGATGAGGAGTAGCAGGAGGAGGGCGACGACGACGACAGGGTGGAGTTGAAGGTGTAGGAGAAGGAATGAGCAGTGGGGGGGAGTGGAGGAAGGAGGGATGGAGGGGCAGGAGTCTGGGGAAGGAGGACAAAGGGGGAGGGGGAGCAACCCTCCAGATATCCGGAGACCCCCAGACTGACTCTGGCGTTCCAGATCCTTAAGAGCTTGGCAACTCTATTCAACTCGATTTTCTGCGGTCAAGCAAGGTACATGGAGATGCATCCAGATAGATCGAGGTACGACCATATAAATCTAGGTCCGTCCAAAAATATCCAGGTACATCCAGATCTCCAGGTAAACCTCGCAAAATCGTGGAATCTCCAGTGCGAGACGAGGGATAGCAGAAGTCGTCGGGCCCTCGACAACCAGAGGCGGCCCCCGCGCGTTCTGGCTCCTCCGTCCCCTCCAAGGAGCTCGAGGTGGTCGTGGAGCAGGGCAAGGATCGGAGATCCGCATTGCACCCGGGCAGCCGAATCCCTCTCCGCTTGCTCTTCCCTTCAGGAGGAGGACGGAATATGAGGAGGGGAAGACGGAGGAGGAGGAGGAGGAGGAGGAGGAGGAGGAGGAGGGAAGGAAGGAGGAGGAGGAGGCCTGGGAGGAGGATGAGAAGCAGGAGGGTGATGATGATGCTGCTGCTGATGATGATGACGATGATGCTGATGATGCTGATGATGACGATGCTGATGATAATGATGCTGATGATACTGATGCTGATGCTGCTGCTGCTGATGATGATGATGATGTTGATGTTGATGCCGATGATGTTGACGATGATGAGGATGATGATGCTGCTGATGATGCCGATGATAATGCTGATGCTGGTGCTGATCATGATGCTGCTGCTGATGATGCTGAGGATGATGAATATTATTCTGATGATGATGACATTGATTATGATAATGACGTTGCTGATGTCGTGGTTGTTGCTGGTATTGTGGCTGTTGTTGTTGTGGCTGCTGTTCTTGTGGTGGTGGTCGTCGTCTTCGTCGTTGTTGTTGTCGTCGTTTTTTTTGTTTTTTTTTGTTTTCGCTGTTCTTGCTCTTGTTGTTACTGGTGCTGTATTTATTGTGATTGTTTTGCTTGCTGTTGTTGTTGTTGTGGTGCTGGTCTTTGTTTTGTTTTGTTGTTGTTGTTGTTATTATTATTTTTGTTGTTGTTGTTCCGCGTATCCTAAGTGGGGACCTACTTTCTCTCGTCACCCCTCGCAGGACCCCCCACACCATCATTACGTAGTATCATTGTTTTCATCATCATCATCATCATCAGCAGCAGCATCATCATCATCATCATCATCACCATCATCATCATCATCATCATCATCATCATCATCATCATCATCATCATCATCATCATCATCATCATCATCATCATCATCATCATCATCATCGTCATCATCATCATCATCATCATCATCTTCATCGTCATCCGTAGCCATTTTGGCTCAAGCCGTTTTGGCTCAAGTTCGAAACGTGCGACCCTGGCGCTTCGAGCTTGGCCGCTGCTGAGGGGACTGCTCGAATCCTGGGCATAGCAGCCCTGCTCTGCTCCCCCCTCTCTCCGACCTGATCGGGTCACTTGTCCGTTTTCAGTCTGTGCTCTGATCTTCGGTGCCATGGCGCCGAACGCCACAGAGTTTGCGATCAGGGAGTTGACTGCTCAGGCGGGGTTGATGAATGAGTCGCTCACGAAGGTGACACAACAGGTTTCCGAGCTTGCCGTCGCTATGAAGAGCTTGCAGGACGGGTTGATGTTGCAGAAGCAAAAGGTTGAGGAGACCGAGGCAGCGTTAGCAACGATTCGTGCGGTGGCGACTGCCAGCGGCAACAGCAGCTTCGACATCAGCAGTGACGACAGCAGAGAGAGTTCGGCGAAGAAGGCCCGTCTTAGCGCTCGTTCCAGGAACGGTAACCAGGACATGCTCTCGAAAGCGATTGTTGTTGGATGTGCGGATGAGTTCACGAGGGCCGTCGTCCTTAAGTCATGTCAGGAGATTCTCACGTCTTGTGCAAGTGCTGAAGTCCTGGCTCAGGTGAAGGTCACTCCCCAGAACTTCTCGAAGAAAGTGATTCTGGCTTTCCCGTCGGGTGACGCTGCGTCTGAGACAATCGAGACCTTTCGTAAGAACTACCCTGCTGGCTACTCCTACAACACTCCCAAGGGCCCTCGCTTTCTGCGTCCCAAGCCTCTCAGGGGAGACTAACAAGCAGCTCACGGTGATGGGGGAGATTCGTGCGGAAGTCGAGTCGGTAGTGAAGTCGGTTCCGAAGCTCGAAGGGTGGAAAGTTGATTCGTCGGTCGGCAACGGCTTCGTCTTCATTGCTAGTGAGTCGACAGGTGATGCACTAACGTTGTTCAGCGTTCAGAAGCCCTTGTCTGTCTTTGAGCAGCCTCGTGTGATCGCCTTCGCGTGTCACTTCGAGCAGATCGGCCTCGCGGGTGAGCATGGGGAGATGGTAGCAACGGTATGGCAGCAGTTGGGTCTTTAGCAGTATATCTACAGAGTCTAGTGCCTCCGTGGAGGCTGGGTGGCTGACGCAGGAGGTTGCCTCTCTCCTGTGCGATCGCCGTTTCGTCGAGGCCAAAAGCTTTCTTAGGGAGTGTGGGGGGACGCTGTACATTCCCATTCCTACCGAAGAAACCGTTATCGATCGTCGCGTGGAATGCCAGGGTCCTGTTCGCAGGTGTGGCTAGTATGAAAGCCAGGTATTGTACGCGTTGGCGCCTTTTTGCTGCCCTGCTTCTTCGTAACCACATCGTAGGTATACAGGGGTCTCATGGCCATGAGGGTGACTTGGTCTCGCTTCGCAGGGAATTCACGTCTTACATGTTCTTCTTCAACCCCCACCCAGATAACCTGCAGGGTCATGGCATACTCGTCTGCGTGCATGATAAGCTAGCTTGCCAGTTCAGTGGTTTTACACAGCAGATTCTCTATCCTGGTAAGGCGTCGTATTTTCTCGGATGGGGTGAAGCTGGTCTCTCGGGGACCGTGGTTGTGCACCTACTGAATGTTGATGCTGATATTGGTTACTATCGCCATTGTCTCTCTTGCGCCCAGTCTGCTCTTCTCCCTGCTGCTGCCCCCGCCCACATCGTGCTCGGTGACTTCAATTTTGTCTTCAGTGATGAAGGGGGTTCAACATAGATGACGGGGCTTTCTCTCGGGGGGGCACGGCCTTTACTCGTGGGTGGAATGCTGCTTTCGGTTCCTGGACTGAGCTTTACCAACCGCTTGATACGCGTCGTGCTTGTTTGGGTCCCAAGGTTGTTTCGACTGCCCGTCTGGATCGAGTTTATGTGGATCCCCCCTGCCGTGTTCATGGACCTTGTTGTGACTGGTGCCACTATTGGGATGCCCACTAACCTCAATCACCCTTCCGACCACGCCCCTGTTATGGTTACCATTGCCCCAAAGCCTCGGGCGGCTGACGGTCCTCCCCCAATTCCTGGTTGGTCCCCTACCACGGAAGAGTACATGAGGTGTCTGGATGGGCTGATCACAAATATCGATCGGGGCCTCCCGATTCAGTTGCAGCTCGCTCGCACCAAGGTGGCTATGCACGAGGCTCATGCTGAGTTTCGTAAGATCCTTCGTGCTCGGCTGGCGACGGCCGTCCATGAGTATCTGCGTTGGTGTATCTCTGCCCTGCGTGGGTTTCGTGCTTCCTCATTCTATCTGGTTGTGCGTGCAGTGCGTGCCTATCCTTTGCTCTCCAACTTCTTGGATGTCGACGCTGGCGCGTTTGTTGATCCTCAGGGGTTGTATGCGCACACTGCATCTCTTAACAACCAGTTGCTTGATGATGAGGAAGAGGCTCTCGTGCATGCGAGCGAGCTCCCTGAGCGCGAGGTAGCACGCCGTCGTGCACGTGTGCAGCGCAATTGGGAACGTCGGCGCAGTCTGAACAAGTCGACCTGCCTTGGCAATATATTGGTTGAGAGAACGGGTGCGCCGTGCACGTCGGTACAGCATGCGGGTGCTGAACTGTCTCGTCATTGGGGTTCTGTCTTCGCGGCCAAGTCCCCCAGCCGTTCTCTCTGGCCAACCCTCTCCCAGTACATCCAGCGTGCTGACGTCCTCTGTCCGAATCAGGAGTGGATCCTTGATGCTGATGCTTTCGGGTCCCTGGTAAAGAAGTCGGGGAACTCCATGCCTGGGATTGACGGCCTACCGCGCGGCTGCTGGAAACACCCTGGGGCTCAGGCGATTTTGTACGATTTCTATCTGCATTGTGTTTACCATCCTGATGACCCGCTCCCTGGTGACTTTCATGAGATGTTGATGGTCTTCTTGGCGAAGGGGGGTCATCCTACGGATGCCACTGCAGTTCCCGCTCGGAAGCCGTCTTCGACCCGTCCGCTGTCTATGGGATGTACAGATTGCAAGTGGATTGCCGCTGCTATCGCTAGTCCGCTTACCCAGGTCAGCACTCACACTATCCTGGAGTCTCAGACTGGTGGGGTCCCTGGCCGTTCGATACTGGACATTATTATTGCCTGTGAGGGTGATGGTCTCCTGGCTCACATTGGGGCTCGGTGCAGTCCGCAGTGCTGAACCATCTGGCGCGGGGAAGGGTGTCACCCCTGGTGACCGCGTAGTCGGCCGCAGTGGATGCCTGGGTTGTCCGTGGCAGTTGGGTACAGGGAGCCCACGATGGGCGTGTCTGGGACCTGCCCTTGCTGCACTTCACGGCTGCCGTGTTCTGCGCATTTTCCGAGGGGTTCCGGACTTGGTAGCCGTGGGTCGTGTGGCCGGCTGGGCTGGGGTCGGCTCGTCGCCACGCGGAGTGGGTGGAAGTGAAGGGGGAAGGGATGAACCGCTTCCGTTAATGGGCGGCTTGGTGGGTGTTGGGCAGGGTGTCACGTGCCTTTCCTTGGTGGGCCTTGTTGACTGGGCCGGGCTGGGTGTCTGCTCGGGGCGCGCGCCCGCCCGGGGGGTGGTGTGCTGCTGGGTCCCGCTGGCGGTTGCGCTTCCTGTGGGTGGAAAACGCGCCGTTGAAGGGCCGTCCCACGTCTGTGAAGCACGCCGGGCCCCCCCCGAACAGGTAGAAACCACACTCACCGACAGGCGACGCAGGTAGAAGTCACACCCACCGAAAGGCAAAAGGAGGCTGGTCACCCAGGTGGGGCCTGCTGTTCACCCATCCTGACGGGTGGTCAGCCGTAACACTTCCTGAGGTGGTTGGGCCTTGGTCTGAACAACCACCTTGTGCTTGAGCAGGTGGAAGCCGCAACCACCGACAGGCGAAAGGAAGGCAATAATAATCCTGCACCTGCGGGGGTGACCACCCAGGTGGGGCCTGCGGCTCGTCCATCTTGACGGGTGGTCAGCAGTAGCACTTCTGAGGTGGTCGGGCCTAAGTCTGAGCAGACACCTCGTGCCGGGGGAGTATGGAAATCACACCCGCCGACAGGCGAACGGAAACCGTTTTTTTCACGATGCGAGCAGGTGGAAGCCGCGCCCACCGACAGAATAGTCGAAGCCACATCCACCGACAGGCGAAACACCAGGTGGAAAACACCCACCGGCAGGCGAAACTACATGTAGAAGCCACACCCGCCGACATGTGAAAAGACCAGGTGGAAGCCACACCCACCGACAGGCGAAAGGAGAAGACCAGGTGGAAACCAAACCAACCGACACGCGGAAGGAAGCCAGGTCGACGCCACACCCACCGATATTTTTTATTTTTTTTTGCTCGCGAGCGACGCGGGCAGCCGCGCGCCCTCTAACAAGTCGTGAAAATGCAATCCAAGCGCAGGCAGCACGCGGAAAAAAGGGGGCCACAACGGCGGCGAAAACTACGCAGCGGAGGCGAAAGAGCAAGAGACACACGAGGAGAGCAAGAAAGGCGAAACGAAGCGAGAAAGACGGGGACCAAGGACAAGACAGAAAAGAAGGCGAGCCGCGGCTCACGCTCGAACCGAGTAGGAGACGAACGTCCCTTGCCGAACAACCGGACCTTGTAGCAAGGCTGACCCAAGCCAGTCCAATGCACACAGCTTAAACGTCACAGAGTGGCCTGGTACGAGGGGCGCGTGAGCGTTCGGCACGCAGACACCATCCGCCAGGTCAGTTCCAGGACCGCGGACACCCACCGATACGCTAAACCATTTTTTTTTTTTTTTTTTTTTTTTTTTTTTTTTTTTTTTTTTTTTTTTTTTTTTTTTTTTATATATATATATGTATAAACATTATTATTATTATTATTATTATTATTATTTATTGTATTATTACCATTATTATTATTATTTTTAGTATTTATTATTATTATTATGCACATGTATATAAACAATAAAACACATATTTGTTAGTTTCATTGTGTGTCTCACGACGCGAGAGCAGGTGGAAACCGCACCCACCGACAGGCAAAGGGATGACAGGTGGAAGCCAAACCCACCAACAGGCGAGTGACCATGTGGAAGCCGCACCCACCGACAAGCCACGGGGACCACCCAGGTTGGGCCTGCGGCTCGCCCATCCTGACGGGTGGTCACCAGTAGCACTTCCTGAGGTGGTTGGGCCTAGGTCCGAACAACCACCTCGTGCTAAGCCACGCCCACCGACAGGCGAAAGGAAGAACACGTGGAAACCACACCTACCGGCAGGCGAAGATACTAGATGGACGCCACACCCATCGATAGGCGAAACCCTCAGAAGGGCCGTCCCGCGACTGTGACGCACGCCGGCCCCCCCCGAACAGGTGAAAGCCACTCCCACCAAAAGGCGACACAGGTGGAATAACACGCGAAAGGAAGATGGCCACCCAGGTGCCTGCGGCCCACCCATCCTGACGGGTGGCACGCAATACCACTTTCTGAGGTGGTTGGGCTTGGTGCTGTGCAGCCACCATCGTGCTTGGGCAGGTGGAGACCACAGCCGCCGACAGGCGAACGCGAGGCAGGAAGAGCCCTGCCCCTCCAGGGCTCACCCACCCTAACGGGTGGTCAGCAGTAGCACTTCCTGAGGTGGTTGGGCCTTGGTCTGAGCAACCACCTCGTGCTGGGGAGGAGAGCATGTGGAAATCACACCCACCGACAGGCGAAAGGACACCGTCGAACAAAAACAACGATGACGTGAGCAGGTGGAAATCACACCCACCGGCAGGCGAACCGAGCAGTGGAAGTCACACCCACAGACAGGCGAACGACCAGGTGGAAGCCACACCCACCGACAAGCGAAACTACAGGTGGAAGCCACGCCCACCGACAACAGCTGGAAACCACACCCACCGACTGGGGAAACGACCAGGTGGAAACCACGCCCGCCGACAGGCGACAGGACTCCCCCTCCAGTGTGGCCACTCAGGTGGCCTGCGGCTCGCCCATCCTGACGGGTGTTCAGCAGTAGGACTTCCTGAGATGTTTGGGCTTGCTACTGAGCAGCCACCTCGTGCTTGGGGCCCTCCAGGTGGAAGCCACACCCACCGACAGGCGAAGAAGCCGTGCCGCACACCATGGGGTGCCCCCCCCACACAACAAACTGAGGTGGTTGGGCATTGGACTGAGCAGCCACTTCTTGCGGGGGGCGCTGGAGGCCCCCTGCCACTGTCGCCCCACTGTTCATTCACTTGAGGGCTCGAAAGGGGTGCTCATCGGATGCGGGACCGCCGCACCCTTCGTGGCGCCCCTTGCGTCCCCAACGGATTCCCCCAAATGAGTATAGCACAGCATTGGCACGGGGAGGAGCAGGAGGAGGAGGAGGATGAGGAGGAGGATGAGGAGGAGGATGAGGAGGAGGAAGTGAAGAGGAGGTCTCAGGGTGGTTCGGGCTGCGGGGGGGAGGGGGTGCACGGGGTTCTTGGAGGCGGCTGTTGGGGGGTTACAAGGGGCCTCCTCGATCTCCGCGAAAGACGAAGGGGGGGGGGGGGGCGAGTTAAGGGGGGAGGTTCCCAGATGTCCTGAATTGTTTCGCCTGCCGAAGCCAGGAAGTCGGACCCCCCCACAACAATTGGCCCGAAGTCGGCCCGTCGAAGGGTCTTTTGGGGGAGCAGTGGAGCGGACATGGGCTCTTCGCACGCTTCGGTCGCAATCAAGATTTGCTAGAGCAGTTGATGACCCAAGCGAGGTCAAAGGAACTGAGCGACTCCGATTCTGATTAATTTTGTTGCGTTCTGGTGGCAGTGGCATTGACGCTGCCTCCACATGGAACAGAACAGGCAGGCAAATGGCCAAATGCGTCAAAAAGTCAAGATGCTCGATGCTGGATCCTCGATTCTTTTCCTCCGCCTTCTCCGCCTTCTCTTCCTCCTCCGGTGGGGCGAGGGAGGATGGAACGGCGGGTGTCAAAAAGGCTTTCTGAAGGAGCGAGAGGAGCGCATCAAAGAGCTCGAGATGCTGGTGGACGAGACCACCGCCGAGTGCAACAGCCGCGCGGAACGCATCAAGGAGCCTGCGATCTGTGGAGCATCGAGGATCGAGGCTCGAGGATCGAAGTTCGAAGACCAAGGTTCGAGGTTCGAGGTTCGAGGATCGAGGTTCGAGGAGCAAGGTTCGAGGTTCGAGGTTCGAGGTTCGAGGATCGAGGTTCGAAGATGGAAGATCGAGGATCGAGGATCGAGGATCGAGGATCGAGGTTCGAAGGTCGAGGTTCGAGGTTCGAGGATCGAGGATCGATGTTCGAGGATCGAGGTTCGAAGATGGGTGTTCCTGGATGCTTTTTGCAGCTCTTTCTGGGCCTCCGGGAGAGGCTGCTCGTCGCCCCGGCCTGGATTCGCCTCGAACAATTCTGCTCGAAGCGAGAGGGCAAGAGAGGTGTGCAAGACGAAGTTTGAGGGAGAAGGAGGAGGAGGAGGAGGAAGAGGAGGAGAAGGAAGAGGAAGAGGAAGAGGAAGACGAGGAATACTAATAATGATGAGGGTAACAACAATAATCATATTAATAATGAAAACCATATAATAATAGTAATAATAATGATAGTAAGAGCAATAATACCAATACTAATGCTAATACTAATGTTAATAATAATACTACTGATACTGATGGTATTAATAGTATTATTGATAATTATAATATTGCTAATGATACTAGTATTAATAATACTGGTACTATGAATAATACTAATAATACTAATAGTGACTAGTACTATTAGTATCACTAATATTAAGGACAAAACTAAAACGAATAATACTAATGCTGATTCTATTATTTGTAATAGTATTATCATTAATGCCAAAGAATAATAATGCTGCTACTCTTATTGGTACTAATATTATCAATAGTGCCAATGCTAATAATACTAATAGTAATAATAATAGTATGAATTTTGTTAACCATAATAATACGACTACTAATAACAATAATACTACTACTAATACTATTTGTGATGCTAATAATACTAATAATACTAGTCATAATACTAATACTTATAATAATACCACCGTTAGAAATACTGCAACTATTATTATTATTATTATTATTATTATTATTATTATTATTATTATTATTATTATTATTATTATTAGTATTATTACTATTATAAATAGTAATAACGATCAACATACTAAGAAGGAGACGATTAATAATACTGGTACTATGAATAATACTAATAATACTAATAGTGACTAGTACTATTAGTATCACTAATATTAAGGACAAAACTAAAACGAATAATACTAATGCTGATTCTATTATTTGTAATAGTATTATCATTAATGCCAAAGAATAATAATGCTGCTACTCTTATTGGTACTAATATTATCAATAGTGCCAATGCTAATAATACTAATAGTAATAATAATAGTATGAATTTTGTTAACCATAATAATACGACTACTAATAACAATAATACTACTACTAATACTATTTGTGATGCTAATAATACTAATAATACTAGTCATAATACTAATACTTATAATAATACCACCGTTAGAAATACTGCAACTATTATTATTATTATTATTATTATTATTATTATTATTATTATTATTATTATTATTATTATTATTAGTATTATTACTATTATAAATAGTAATAACGATCAACATACTAAGAAGGAGACGAAGAGGAGGAGGAGGAGGAGGAGGAGGAGGGGAGGAGGAGGAGGAGGAGGAGGAGGAGGCGAAGGAGGAACAGGAGGAGTGGAGGAGGAGGAGAAGAGGAGGGAGGAGGAGGAGGAGGAGGAGGAGGAGGAGGGGAGTGGGGAGGAGGAGGAGGAGGAGGAGAAGAGGAGGAGGAGGAGAGGCCAAGGAGGAGGAGGAGAGGAGGAGGAGGAGGGGAGGAGGAGGAGGAGGAGGAGGAGGAGGTAGGAGGAGGAGTTGGAGGAGGAGGAGGAAGAGGAGACTAGGAGGAGGAGGAGGAGGAGGAGGAGGATGAGATAGAGGACGAGGAGGGCGAGGGGGAGGAGAGATGAGGAGGAGGAGGATGAGGAGGAGGAGAAGGAGGAGGACGAGGAGGAGGAGGAGCAGGAGGAGGAGGAGGAGGGTCGACATCGACGACGTCCCTCTCGGGGTGCATTGTGTTGAGTTGAGTTGGGTTGAGGAGGTGCATGAGGAACCTAGAGGATCAGCAGGAGTATGAGCAGGAGGGTGGGCAGGGGGATGAGGATCCAGCCGATGCAAAGCGCGGTCGTGGCACACAGCATCCGTTCGACCATGCCCCCACAGGATCGACGTCGGCTTTCGCACCAAAGCGGGGCCATCCTCCTCTCGACGCTGGCCTTTTCAGCCCAACCTCTGCATCCTAAGAGCCCGCCTCTAAACTCTGCTTGCGTTGGCGTCGTGCCTGTCCGTCCTCCGCCCTCGCACGGGCGTTCTTTTTGCTGCTTCGGCCTCTTGCGCACTGCCCCGGGCAGCGCATACTGCCCCGAGGGCGCAGTTGGCTGGCCATCAATCTTTACTACCTGCTGCTGTGCGTCTCCTCTGCGCGCCTTGCTGCCGTGGTCGCGAGTCGTTTTTCGCATGGGCCTTCGCACAGGCCAGCACCAGCCAGAGCTGACCGTACCGTCGTCGTGATGGTGTGTGCGATCGCCCCCGCTTGAGCTAGCGTCGCTGCGAGGTGAGCTTCGTCGAGACCTGCGCCCTCCTTCTGTCAGCGTCTGACCCCCCACCTGCCTCCGCATCCGCGTCCGCGTCTCCCTCCACCTCCACCTCCACCTTCACCTCCACCTGCAGGCCCAGCACTCACCCGGCTCTGAGGTGTGTTGCCACCAGGGCTGGGCGCGTGGGCCTACGGCCCAGTCCACCAGTCCACGGCCTGTCACGTAGCGGTGCGTGCACATCAGGAGGTCCGCCTCCACCTCCCACCTTCCACCTCCGCCACTCCTGGCTGTCCTCGTCATCCTCCTCGTCCACATCCTTCTCCTCCTCCTCCTCCTCCTCCTCCTCCTCCTCCTCCTCCTCCTCCTCCTCCTCTTATTCTCCTCCTCCTCCTCCTCCTCCTCCTCCTTCTCTTCCCTTCTCCGCCTCCTCCTTCTCCTCCTCCGCCATTCGTTGCCTGCTGTTCCCTTCTCCTCCTCGTCCTACGCCTCGGGTCCGGGGCAGGAGCTGGAGGGCATCATCTCGACGGGCAACTACGCCGCGATCAAGGACGAAGGCCGCGCGGGCGCGTGGGCGGTGGAGTTATCTCTCCCCGTAGTGTCAGGGGGCCCGGAGGAGTAGGAGGAGGAGGAGGAGGCGGAGGAGGAAGAGGAGGAGGAGGAGGAGGAGGAGGAGGAGGAGGAGGAGGAGGAGGAGGGGGAGGGGACGATGAATAATGAATGATGAATTATGAATGATGACGATGACGATGACGATAACGACGACGACGATGATGATGCTAATGCTAATGATGCTGATGACGATGCTAATGGTGATGATGAGGATGTGCTGCTGCTGATGATGCTGATGAGTATCATGATGATGATGGTGATGAACATGATGTTGATGATGGTGATAGGATGGATGCTTATGATGATGATGATGATGATGATGATGATGATGCTAATGCTAATGCTCATGCGGATGATGTTGTGTTGCTGTTGAGGATGACGACGATGGTGATGTTGATGATGACGACGATGATGATGACGACGATGGTGATGATGATACTGATGATGAGGATGCTGCTGATGATGATAACGACGATGATTCTGATACTGATGATGATGATGGTGAGGATGAGGATGAGGATGTGGATGAGGATGTTGATACTGATGATGCTGATGCTGCTGCTGATGATTAGGATGAGCAGGATGCTGCTGCTGCTCTTTGATGATGATGATGATGATGATGATGATGATGATGATGATGATGAGGATTCTGCTGCTGCTGCTGCTGATGATGATGATGATGAGGCTGATGATGATGATGCTGATGCTTATGATGATGATGAGGATGATGATTATGATTCTGATGATGGTTGTGATGATGATGATGATGTTGAGGATGATGATGAGGAGGATGATGATGATGAGGAGGAGGAGGAGGATGCGGAAGAGGGAGGAGGGATGAGGAAGAGGATGATGATGATGATGATGATGATGATGATGATGATGATGATGATGATGATGATGATGATGATGATGATGATGATGATGATGAGGAGGAGGAGGAGGAGGAGGAGGAGGAGGAGGAGGAGGAGGGACAAGTGCAAAGCCAAGACTGATCAACGATATTGCAATAAGCCCTCCCCTAAGGTCCCTCTCCGTAGGCACCATACAAGGTTTATCTTCACTTGGGGAAGTGCCCCGTTAGAAGGCAGCCGGTCGGAAATCTGGAACTGTGCCAGAACACCTTTCAACGCCGCGAATCAACGTTATTGTTGCGTTTTGAAGATCCGGAATCGTGCCAGAACAGTTTGGGCATTTCAACACCACGAGCCAACGTAACTGTTCCGCCCTGATGGTCCGACATCGTGCCCGAACAATTTTTTGATGTTAACCACGAGAACCATCTAAGCTCTTCAAACGAGTGTGAGAGGCGCCAAGGCGAGAGCCACATTTTGAAAACCACCCTCCCTTCATTTGTGAATTTCCTGCAATTCTTTGAGACGGATGCGCGCGGCGCTAAGGCGAGAGCCACATTTTGAAAACCGCCCGTCCTTCATCCTTGTAATCTTTGCAATTTTGAAGACGGATGTGCGCGGCGCTAAGGCGAGAGTCACTTTTTAAAAACCGCCCGCCCTCCATCCGCGAAGTTGCTGCAAATGATCAGCTTCAGGATCACAAATGGTGAGGAAGTCTGAGGCGAAACGACCGGCCCGCCCTTTCGACTGGCCTCGGGGTGCGACAGGGAGGAGTTATTCAGAAGGAATGGAGGAAGGGAGAGGGAAGGACAGAGGGAGGGAAGAAGGAGCGAGGGATGCAGGGAGGGAAGGGGGAGAGGGGGAGGAAGAGAAGGGAGGAGGAGGGACCGGAGTAAGCCCAAGCTCAGTCAACGATGCTGCAATCTGTCCGTCCGTCCCCTCCTAACTTGCTCCTGGAAGCATTCTTTTTCACTGCGCAGGGCGCCTCCCCCTCGAAAGGCGGGCGCCCCATGGTCCCGCAACTCGGGCGGACGCTCCGTTCCGAAAAAGACCACCCTCCGTCGTCCGAGCCGTGCGACAGTTTTTGGACTCTGAAAAAGTCCTCCTCCTCCTCCTCCTCCTCCTCCTCCTCCCTCCTCCTACCTCCTCTCCTCCTCCTCTCCATTCCTCCTCTAACTACTCCTCTCCTCCCCTCCTTCCTCCCCTCCTTCCTCCTCCGCCTCTCATCCTCCTCCTCTTCTCCTCCGTCCCCTCCTCCTCCTCTCCTCCGTTCTCTCCTCCCTCCCCATCTCCTCCTCCTCCTCCTCCTCCTCCTCCTCCATCTCCTCCTCCTCCTCCTCCTCCTCCTCGCATGGAATCTCAGGGATGTGTCCAGCGGCGGCCCCGCCCTGCAGAGGCACCGCCCTCGAGTCATGCAGCCTGCTGCAGGTGCCCGACTGCACGCCTGGCCTCGAGACCTCCAGCTGCAGACTCCAGCGAGAGCCCCCCTCTTGAGGCTGGGCCGCCCTCCGGCTGTGAAGCTCGGGGCACCTCTGTGTGCTCCTCCTCCACCTTTTCCAGCCTCCTCGCCCCTGCCTCCTCCTCTCACATCCCTCCTCCCTCCCCCTCATCCCTCCTCCTCCTCCGCCTCCTACTCCTCATCCTCCCGCCTACTCCTCCCCCCGTCCTCCTCCTCACTCCGCCTCATCCTCCGCCTCCTCCTCCTCTTCCTCCTCCTCCCGTCCTCGGCTCGTCCGTCTCCTCTCATCCTCCTCTCCTCCGCCTCCTGCCTCCTCCCAGTCATCGTCCTCGTCCTCCTCATCCCCTTCCTCCTCTCCTTCCCCTCCCGTTCCTCGTCCTAGTCCTCCGCCTCCTCCGCATGCCCCCCTGACTCTCCTCCTCCTCTAATCCTCCCCTCCTATCACTCCTCCTCCTTCCTCCCTCCTACTCATCATGTCCAATATGGAATCTCAGGGATGGAAGAAGCACGTGTCCAAGTACAGTGGAGACGCATGGCAAGAAGAACCTTTTCGTCAGGGTGCCCGTGGTTTCCAGGGTGCCCTTGGTTTGTTGGGTTTCGATGGTTTTGCGATGGAAGGTGTGACGTTCCCACACCAAGAATCGACGGACGTCCTGGGGTCTCAGGGTTGGGTTTCTTGTGGAAGGTTTCTTGTGGTCGGGCCCCTGCTGTATGGAATCTCGATGGCACGCGTGGACTTCTCGGGCTGGTGCTGGGCCCCCGGCGGTGCCCCCGGTGCGCTCCGCGCGCCAGGGAGCGGCCTCAGCGCAGACCCAAGTCCTACGCGGACCCTGGAGAGTGCATTGTCGTGCATCTTTGACTTCTTCGACTCTCGTCCTTGCTTTCGGCGCCGTCCTCCGCCGCCGACGAGGGGGGAAGGGGCGCCTCAGTCCTCTTCCTGCCTGCTCCATCGTCCACCTCTTCCTCCCTTCTCTCCCTCCTCCTCTTCCCTCGCCGCCGCCCTCTTCCCCGCCGCGTGCAGAGAAGGGGGGGTGGGGGGGATGGGCCTCCTCCTCTGCCTCCTCCCCAGGCGAGGAAGGAAGAACGGGGGGAAGTCGCTTCGAAGCCGCTCTTGCTGCCGAAAGCCAGCGCCGCCCCCAGTGGCCACTGGCATCCTGACCGACGCGATGCGCTTCGCGGACGAGATGCTGGCCAACAGGGAGGAGGAGATGATGATCGACGGCAGCTCCGCCTCGAAGCTGAAGGAGTCAGTCGAGAGGGTGCCCCTTCCCTCCTCTCCTTCTGCTGTCCTCCTCGAGGCTCGCTGCCTCTCTGTGCGGCGATTGGGACAAACTGTATTTTTGTCGCCAAAATGGAGCCCACTCATCGACCAACGTGTCCTACCTCACTAGGGTTAAAGTGGGCGTGTCCCTCCACATGGGGAATATACAAAAATAGTTGAAGCATAGTCAGGGGGCGTTTCTTTGAGTATTTTTTGGCCATTTTGGGGTATCTGTTGATTGTTTGTTTCCCAACCATCCTGTGGTGTTGGGTCCTCGTTTTGAAGAGACACCGCCCCGCGTCCTCACTCTCCTCCTCCCCCTCCTCCCTCCCACCATCATCATCGTCATCAGCACCATCACCATCACCACCACCACCACCACCACCACCACCACCATCATCATCATCATCATCATCATCATCATCATCATCATCATCATCATCATCATCATCATAATCATCATCATCATCATCATCATCATCAGCATCAGCATCATCATCATCATCATCATCATCAGCATCATCTATCATCATGATGATCATCATCATCATCAACAGCATCAGCATCTAGATATCAGCATCAGCATCAGCAGCATCATCATCACCCTCATCATATTCATCATCATCATCATCATCATCACCATCATCACCATCATCATCATCATCATCATCATCATCATCATCATCATCATCATCATCGTCACCGTGATCGTCGTCGTCATCATCGTCATCACCATCATCATCGTCACTATCATCCTAATCACCATCATCATGGCCATCATCGAAACAATCATCGTCATCAGCTTCGGCACACCCCTCACACGTTTCGTGGCCCCATAGGGAGCTCCACCGAAGGCCCCAGTGCCGCCGGCCGCATGCGTCCCGCACACCCAATTCGGCACACCCCTCGCACGTTTCGTGGCCCCATAGGGAGCTCCACCGAAGGCCCCAGTGCCGCCGGCCGCATGCGTCCCGCATACCCACTTCGGCACACCCCTCACACGTTTCGCGGCCCCATAGGGAGCTCCACCGAAGGCCCCAGTGCCGCCGGCCGCATGCGTCCCGCACACCCAATTCGTCCCTCCGTCCCCTGGCGTTGGACTTCCCTGGTGGACGCCTCTTCTCTCGCCGGTCTGGTGATGTCTGTTCCCATCTGCCCGGTCCGCCTTCCCGCGCAATGCGCGGTCCCCTCCGTGCGGCGTCCACGACGCACGCCCTTGGCCAGCCCCCCAGTTTGCGTCTGCATTCCCTGGGCCCTGGTCTACAGTACTTGCCACAGCTGACCGTGTCTGGCGTCGACTTCGGGGATTCGTATGCTGTGTTCCGGAGTGGTGCAGCCTTCCTGCAGCTACTGCGCATCCCCCACTGGCGCCCTGTCACCGCCCGTTTGGCTCGTACCTTGCCACAGCTGTGGCCCTGGCCTTTGGCGCCCTGTGGCGACATGGTCAGTTCGTACCTGGTCACTCTCGCCCACGGTACCTGAGTTCGACTGCGCTTGCTTCGGGCTCCGCGTTCCTGGTAGCGCGCCGCCTCCTGGCTTGGCCCAGCGGTGGAAGCGCTCCGCTCGGTTGATGCGTGGTTTGCAGATACAGAGCCGATCATGTTCTCTTGGCGTGCAGGACTGAATTCCACTCTGGCGTTTTGGAGCCATTCATTCGCATGGTGCATCAGCTACCCTGGCCGTTTGCAGTCAGCTCAGCCAGCTCCCCTTCAGCCTGCGGCCCCACCGGCGGCTGCTTCTCAGTGCGGGCCCGGCCGCTGTGCTTTTAGGCTTGCGCGTTGCTAATTTGACAGGCCCGTGGCCCGGACCTCTCAGCTCGGCGACTGCGAATCCGCGTCCGCCCGCGACCGGAAAAAGTATCCCCACCAGCTGCTTCCGGGCGTGCAGGTTCAATTCACCCTGGTGCTCCACCGGGGTCTCGCACGT